CGATTATAAAAATTAGATATAGTTCAATTATAGATTTAATTATATTGTAAATTATATTGTAAATTATATTGTAAATTATATTATAAATTATATTATAAACTATATTATAAATTATATTATAAATTATACTATAAATTATATTATAAATTGTATTATATTATATATACGTAATATTTTATTTATTCTTATCTATAAAAATTCTATTCATTAAAAATATAAATCGATTAAAGCTTAAACTGAAACTAATATGAGCTACTGTAAATATCCTGCAAATATCCTGTAAATTATTGTAAATTATTGTAAATTATTGTAAATTATTGTAAATTATTGTAAATTATTGTATGTAAATAAGTCGCCGAATGTCAGAAATCGCGCGTAGAAAATTTCCCAATAAACTTCCAGTACTATTATTCGTCGTGAATTTCGATGGTTGGTTTTCTGCGATAAATCTCGGATCACCGGGTACGTATGACATAACCCGTTGGCGAGGAGGAGACGCGTGATTTGCGCACTATTTAACGCCATTAATCGTGTCGCCGCGCGGCGGTAAGGAGGTCGAAAGCGAAACTGAAAAGCAAGGAAAGATATTATACCTTTCCACTGTCACACGCAATCCTTCCGGAACGGCGGTGGCTGATGCTCGTATCTCATACGTTCGCGTGTTTCAGTATTCATTCTTCGGGTTGGCGCACCGCTGCGAGAAATAACGTGTACTCGGAGCCATAGGCTCTTCCAAGAGCACCCGGAGGAATTTGCATGAGGTAATATTCTTGACTGATATATTCCAGCTTTTGACAGGTCGAATAACGAGACAGATGCAGACCGGGAACTTATTTTCATCGCTCCCCTCTCTCTCTCCCTCTCTCTCGCTCGATCTCTCTCTAGATCTCTAGATCTCTCGATCTCTCTCTCGCTCTCTAGATCTCTCGATCTCTCTCTCGCTCTCTAGATCTCTCGATCTCTCGCTCTCTCGCGCTCTCTATCTAGCGCTCTCCTTCTCGCGCTCTCTATCAAGCGCTTTCTCTCTCGCGCGCGCTATCTCTCTTTCGCTACCTCTCTCGCGCGCGCTATCTCTCTCGCGCGCGCTATCTCTCTCTCGCTCTCTCTCTCTCCCTCTCTCTCTCTCTCTCTCTCTACGTATTTTCTTTCTGCTCGCATCAACGAGCGGAAGTGCGTGCAATACTTGGCCACAGGTGTGGGAAACCAAACAACGACACCGCACTGACACAGTGAACTTGTACCTGTGGCACGTAGAAAACTGCCCTGTGGACGATGGATCGCGGAAAGAGAACATTCTCTGCAAAATTTTAATCTTCTGCCGTGATCAGGGGGTTGGCTATATACGGTGTGTCCCCGGTTCAACGGTCCTCGATCGATTTCGCCGATTTAAGTGCACGCTTGGATTTCGATAGAAATGCGACGTGTCAGTGGCTGTCGAAGCGCATTTTTCGAAATTTCTCGCGATTTCTAGGCGAATAATTCCAACCATAGAAAATTGAGAGCTTCGCGAAATGCAGATTTCTTATGGGATTTGAGAGCCACGTGTGTTTGTACAGTCTGCGACGAATGCACATGTGGCATTATTATAATATTAATAATATAATATTAACGTATAATATTATATATTATATATCTCACTATATATTCTGTATTATTATATATTATATTATATATTATATATCACTATATATTATGTATTATTATATATTATATTATATATTATAGATCACTATATGTTGTGTATTATTATATATTATATTATATATTATATATTTGCGAAGCCCTGCTAAATTAATTTTATCGTCGCCATAAAGCAGACTGAAAAGTTAATCGACGAAAAGCGATCAAGCTCGCAGAAGAATTCTATCGCTATATAAATTATTATTAAAATTAAAATTTCGGAATGCGTCTTTCGACCGCTTACGGTGCAAAATATTGTCAACATTTGCAAGATCGAGAAATTTGAATTCTTTATTTCCCGGTCCTTTGTTCGTCAAAAAGTTCGGCGTTGCGAGATGTTAATTAATCGATAATTCGACGGCAAACGTGTTAAATTAGGGTGAAACGTATCGAACAAATATTCGACGCTTTAAGCGATCCGTGTGTACGTGCTCGATGAATTTTCTAACGGAGCCAACTATCACAATGAGCGCTGAAAACCCCCGTGCAACCCTCTCTCTCTCTCTCTCGTTTTATAATTTACTTCACGTACCGGTACACGTAGCTACTTTTACTCGAAATACGTGTATCGAATGCCCCGTGTAAGCAAGCAAATTCCAAAGTGCATTTGTTCGTTCTTTTTCGCAACTTCTCCGCTTTCTTCCCAGCCGTGCAAAAATGTGGCGCGCACACTTCCGCGTTACGTTCGCGCCGTTCAGGAATTTATTTAGACGCTACGGTGACAAACTTCTCGCGATCGAATTAGGTGATCTCAACTTATTCAGCCGTCGCACTTTGCCATGCTATTCGATCGTGAAACTTTCTTCATCGTGAAACGTATCTAATTCTAGGTAGTTTTACGACGTTTTACGCGGCGATGTTCGAACGTTATTTTCATGGCTATTTTTACGACTATTATTTGTTATAACTGTTACAATTATACTATTATAATAGAAGACGCGATCATCGCATGCGATTCTTGCATAATCGAGCATAGATTAAATAATATTGCAACGTTTTACACGATTTGGTGTGAAGGCGTCGATTTAAAAATACGATTGAATAATTGTAAACGCTTTGGAAAGTAATTAACTTCGATCATTTGTATTGTTAATGTTGTTGGTGATGTTAAACGTGCCAGTATGTTTAAAGAGATTAATTTATGCTATAGATTTTGTCGACGATATTGCTATTAATTTGTTAATGCCACAACATCCGCGAATATTTGATGAATGTTATTAAAATGATATTAGTCAATTAAAATGTATAAAATTTCGAGATTTAAGTAATGAACTTTGGAATATTAAATGCTAAATTATACGTACACATATTAAATACTGAAAGCTAATAATATAATGATATAATACGAAATAGAATACAACAATATATTATATATATAATAAAAAATGAAATAAAATAAGATATTATATATTTATATATATATCATTACATATTATATATTATTATATATTATATATAATATAATAATTTATAGTAATGTACATATAAATAATAATAGTAATTAAATAATAATATGATAAATTTACTACATCGTCATACTTAAATTCTTTCGCTCTCCCCACGCTGTGTCAAATTACACTTACAACTTTTTGTCGCGAATGCATAAAATTTGCAATTTAATAATTGCTCATTAAAACCGTACGAACAACGATTAACTATCACAATTGTAATCCCATCAGTCTCGGTCCAGTTTCAAAGCAATCGTACGTACGCCTTAAAAAGGGGAAACGATTCCCAAATCTCCTAAAGTGGACTGTTCGCGCGAACAAATATAAAAATAAGCGATTCTTTCGCAGCGGTGGAACGGGTCGCGCGCTCTCGCTGTACGAGAACTGCACGCGTTTATCCGGCTGCGAATAAAATATGGCGTTGGAGAAGGGCTTAACACGAACAGTTCTCAAGACGACGACGACACAGTGCATTACGGCGGAACGTTTAAATTTTTTTTCCTCCGCGAAAAACTGAAATATTCCCACGCATGCTACGCCGCGCCAGAGAAATAACGAAGCAGCTACTCTCTACGAGCTTTCTCATTTCGGCGGACACGCGGCAACGGCGCACTGTTTATTGCCTCCTACGCAGCGCGCGCGACGCCAGGAGCTGATGACACCGACAACGACGACGACGACGACGACGACGACGACGACGACTGCATTCGGCTCCCCTTTTACGACCGCCGCCGTTTAGTTTATCTACACATCGACCTACCACGTTTGTCATTCCCCGGATTTGCGGGGTTCGTAAAGTCTCGCGGAGTTTCGCAGCTTCCTCGTCGAAGCTTTTCCAGCAACACTTTCATTTTTAACGCGACGATTTATGCTTTCTTAATCCTGCCACTGTCTATGCAATTTTTCTATGCGTAAATGGAAAGGGTGTCCTGAAATTATGGAATTTATGGGAAACGATGGGTTCCTGAGATCATTTGGAGAAACTTTTTCCTTAGCGAAAATGTTCTACGAGCCTTCGTTTAGGAGTTATTAACGAAAAACAGTGACCAATCGCAGAGCGAGGGCGGTCAGCGCTCCGTCCTGCGGTCAATGCTACGCGGCGACGGCCGTCTGACGCAGCGACAGTGGTCGCGAGGGCGGAGCGTACGCGATCTCTCATTGGTCAGTGTTCTTCGTTAATATCTCGTAAACGAAGCCGCGGATTGCATTTTCGCTAAGGAAAAAGTTGTTTCAAATGATCTCAGGAACCCCTCATTTCCCGGAAATTCCATAATTTTCGGACATTTTGTGTTACTGTAGCTTCATTAAGCTGAATTAAGCTTAATTAATTAAGAGAAGTTAATATTGCATCGTTAAGGAACATGTATTTAGATTTTATAAGACACAGTAACTGAGACACGAGAAGTTTCTTTCTTGTTGAGCATTGTTAATTAAAAAATGAGAAAAGTTAACCTCTTCTTGCACACAGCAATGCAGTCATTGGCTATTCGCTAACCTAATACATTTATTATTAACGCTATTTGTTAACATGCTCCGCACACGTCGATTTGTAGAAGAAAACAATCACAATTTAGCACAATTAATTTAAAAACGTCGTCGATGCAAAAGAGTTTCTTTAAATTGTATTTCAAATGAAAATCAGAGAATCCCACACACTAAAAATCTTTTAACATCTTTTCGTTTTGCAAAATGATTATCACATTATGCTCCACGAGAATCGATCAACATTTCCGAACCAATTATAGCGTTGCAAAATCTCTGCACTATAGATCCGCGGACGCGGATATTTCGAAGAAACTTATCTCGCAATCATCGCGACACGCCCAGCGAAATGTTTTCTTCTACAAACTTTTATTATTCTAACTCACCCACCATTGAGTACGTGGACTAGGACACTAGCTGACTCGGCCGAAGACGGGGCACACGTGTAATTTCCAGAATCAGCACGTAACGCTCTGGAGATCAAGAGGCGTGACGTTCGCGTTTGCTTTTCCGTAACCACGCTGATCCCTCCTCTTTGACTGTAATTTATTACGTGATCACCTTTGTACCTGAAAGCGAACACTCTTTGTTAGCACGAACCGTTCGAATTTACTTGTTCACTTAGAATATTTTCTAGGTATTCTTTATTATATCAGATTGTAAATTAAATATTTTCACAGTGCTATGCTCATTATGGAAAAAGTATAATATTTTCTGATTAGAAACACGTGACTCGATGTTTCATCGTTTTTATTATGGTCATTCAATTTTCATTAGTAAATATGCAAAATTGGACCATTTAATACGATCTATATACTATACAATCTATTTAATACAATCTGTACCATTTAATATAATCTATTAATACAATCTGTTCCGTAATTATGTTCACACCTGGAAAGGAGTGATTCTTGAGATCATTTGAAGCAACTTTTTCCTTAGCGAAAATGTTCTAGAAGGCTTCGTTCACGAGTTATTAACGAAAAACAGTGACCAATGAGAGGCGAGAGCTCGCCTAGCGCTAGGCGGCCGAGCCAATCAGCGGAACTGGCCTTCGACCGCTCGTTAGCTCGGCCGCCACGCGCCAACAGAGCTGACCTCTCATTGGCCAGTGTTTTTCGTTGATAACTCGTAAACGAAGCCTCGTAGAACATTTTCGCTAAGGAAAAAGTTTCTTCAAATGATCTCAGAAATCACGTCTTTCCTTTCCTTTACTGATATTATGTTAACAATTTACAAGCCGCCCGGTTTCGTGAGTAACCCCCACGAGGATGTTATTTACATTAAAAATTACAAATAAATACAAATTGTATTATAAATAAATTATAGTTTGCAAATCAGCAATCGATTGCCAGGCAAACAGCTTCACAAATATTTCAATGTTAAATACTGAAATAGAGTTTACAAAATTACTCGAATAATAATGCGAATAATTTTACAACTGTTTAAAAAAAAGAACAGCCTTCACATTCCATCAATTTGATTCGAATCGATTATTCTCCGTACGAATTCCTGTACGAATAAATTCTCGCTCGCACGAAATCTTATTATCTCGGATAGATCTCAATTCCATCGGATATTTATTCTACAGCGTCGCATAAAATTCGATTCGTTAGCGTTCGCCTCTCGCGAACCGTCGTCCGAGCAAAATCTCCGCGAACTCAGATTTTCCGTCCGATTTACGGCGAGAAAGGGGCGAAAACGAGGCATACTGTATAAACGATCGTAGTTCCTTCGCGGCGATATCCCGACCGGTTTTAATCACCTTTAACCCCGCGGAACCCCCCTCCCCGCCCCGACGAAATTACCAACTATTTGCAGTTTGATCATCGAGGCGTTCAATTAGCGCGCCTGGGCCCCGGCACAGAGAGAAAGAAAAGCAATTCCGATTTTCCGTTCGCCTATCAGCATCGTGTTACGCGCTCGCTTCGGCCTGTAATCGAGACCTATGGAGAACCGTCTCGATGATTCATGGAGAACTTCATTGGCAAAGTTCGGCCGTGTCGCGCCCTGTAAGCGCGCGCGGGCGCGCGAACAAGCGAGCGAGCGAGCGAATTCGGCATTTATGTCTGAACGTAAATTGAATTCGGGAAAGTCCAATTAAACTTACCAGTAAATGAAGGACGGCGGCTCAGGTGTCTGCAGTACGACGCAGGTTAGATTGATGTCGCTTCCGCTTTTGATGTACAGCTCTGAATTGCCGTTGATCTTTGCCTTCGACACTGCAACCATAATGGACCACGGCGTTAGATCAATACATTTCCCGAATGAATGCAGATGCTACGGATTGCCCGCGCGCGCGCGCGGCCCCCGGTCGCCCGTAATGCTATATAATGAGTTAATAAATCTAATGAGTCGCCGACTGTGAAACGAATCGATGGTCTCTCGGTCGGCGGACAGCTCACAAAGAAGCCCCGGCCCCGATAATGGAACCGGCATCGATAGCGTCGAGCACACGCAAGATGATCGGTGGAAACGCGCTGATCTCGCGCGTTTATCACCGGATTATACGGGTTTTTGTATCGACGACGCGGGGGGAAAATTGGTGGATCGAATATAGAACGGTGATTAGATTGTTCAACGAATTTAGAAACATTGTTGCATTATTTTCCGACTCCGTCGAGTTATTGACACTGAAAGCACCGAGTTCTAAACGCGATTTATTTGTATTGTTTTATAGCAATGTCCAAGCTGGATTTATTTAGATTTACTATGATTTATATTATAATGATAAATAATAGTAAATATAGAAAATTGTAATAATAGAATTATTGTGATAATAAAGAGAAATTGTTATAATAGAATTATTCTGATAATAAAGAGAAATTGTTATAATAAAATTATTGTGATAATAAGGAGAAATTATTATAATAAAATTATTATGATAATAAAGAGAAATCATTATGATAAAATTATTATGATAATAAAGAGAAATCATTATGATAAAATTATTATGATAATAAAGAGAAATCATTATGATAAAATTATTATGATAATAAAGAGAAATCATTATGATAAAATTATTATGATAGTAAAGAGAAATTATTATAATAAAATTATTATGACAATAAAGAGAGATTATTATAATAATAAAAGAAATTGTAATATATGTATTATAATACATTTCTCCTGGAAATATTAGTATAATATATCAAGAACTCTGCAAAAGAAATAGTCAGAGCCATTTTGACTGGTTTGCTAGTTCCAGTGTTAAAAAACGACACAAATATCTGTTGCAGCTCCTCTATCTTGCAATTAATCAAGAATTAATTGCATACAGCTGTCATTTTCCAAAAAGAAGTCTGCAACCCCTTCATTAGAATTTCAGGATCTAGAAGGATCAATGAAATAATTAATTTCATCAATCTGAACTGTGTAATGTCTGGGTCCAATAGATCAAATTTCGTTTCGAATAATACAATACAAAGAATTCTCTAGGAAATCGTCTTTATATCAATGATTCTAAGAAATACGTGACTTGCTTCGATTGATTCGAATGCGCGTAAATCAATCATAAATGCTGGAAATATTGGACTTTTGTCCCCTTTTTGCGCGACGGTTTAGTGGCTAACCAACCGTTCGATTTAATGGTTATTAAAAATTCAGCTTAACTGCACGCGTCGGTGACGCCGGGGAATGAAGTTTCAAAAGCGAACGATACAAAAATACACCGCAATCGCACAATACGGAATTCGATATTTAAAGAACGATATAAATTTGTCATAGCTGCGCATGGAATGGAATAACTCTTTTCAAAATTCCACCGAATAGGATGATTTTTTTCTCAGATGTTATAAAATATATAAAATCGAATATTATTTTTATGTACTTATTATTCTATTAAAAAATTAAATAACATTAATCTATTTTAATAGATTAGCGATTAATAATAATATAATCAATCTATTACAGCCTTTTGCAATCTTAAACAGGGAGCATACATTTAATCAATATTCACCTATGAAATCCACGATTATTATTTAATTAAAAATTAATTGAATAACGTTAATCTATTTTAATAGATTAACGATTAATAATAATATCATTAATCTATTATTCTTCTCCAATTTATTGTTGTCATTAATGCATAAAATCTGTGGTCAATCAGATTGATTAGATAAGAATAATAATAATGTTAAAGTCTATAAAGTTAATTTTTCTGCGTTTACTGACCTACGACGCTCAAGTTAAAAGCCTGGCTAATTTTCGGTTCGGTTGAAACTTGACACTCATAGATTCCGCTATCCCGGACCTGCGGCGAAGTAATCTTCAAGGTCCATTCGTCAGTTCCATCGCTGTGCAACGACGTGAAACGCTGGTCATTTGTGTACGTTAGGATTCCTACGGTGAGGATGTGCAAGTCTCGTTGCCTGATCCATGAGACCTGCGAACAAATCAGATGGCTCTCTTCAACGTGATTCGATCGATAAAAAAAACCGACCGACGCCGGCCAAAGAGAAGAAAAGAGAATCCGCCGTTCTAATATAATAGAAAATGGTATAACAATCAAATAGTAAATAATATGACAATATAATAGAAAATATTATAACAATAAAATAGCAAATAATATAACAACACAATAGAAAATATTATAATAATCACATAGGAAATAATAAAACACAATAGAAAATACTATAATAATAAAATAGCAAATAATACGACAACATAATAGAAAATATTATAACAATAAAATAGCAAATAATATATAACAACACAATAGAAAATAATATAATAATAAAATAGCAAATAATATGACAATATAATAGAAAATGATATAATAATAAAATAGCAAATAATATGACAATATAATAGAAAATATTATAATAATAAAATAGCAAATAATATATAACATAACATAAAATAATATAATAATCACATAGGAAATAATACAACAACACAATAGAAAATACTATAATAATAAAATAGCAAATAATACGACAACATAATAGAAAATATTATAACAATAAAATAGCAAATAATATATAACAACACAATAGAAAATAATATAATAATAAAATAGCAAATAATATGACAATATAATAGAAAATGATATAATAATAAAATAGCAAATAATATGACAATATAATAGAAAATATTNTTTTCCGTAACCACGCTGATCCCTCCTCTTTGACTGTAATTTATTACGTGATCACCTTTGTACCTGAAAGCGAACACTCTTTGTTAGCACGAACCGTTCGAATTTACTTGTTCACTTAGAATATTTTCTAGGTATTCTTTATTATATCAGATTGTAAATTAAATATTTTCACAGTGCTATGCTCATTATGGAAAAAGTATAATATTTTCTGATTAGAAACACGTGACTCGATGTTTCATCGTTTTTATTATGGTCATTCAATTTTCATTAGTAAATATGCAAAATTGGACCATTTAATACGATCTATATACTATACAATCTATTTAATACAATCTGTACCATTTAATATAATCTATTAATACAATCTGTTCCGTAATTATGTTCACACCTGGAAAGGAGTGATTCTTGAGATCATTTGAAGCAACTTTTTCCTTAGCGAAAATGTTCTAGAAGGCTTCGTTCACGAGTTATTAACGAAAAACAGTGACCAATGAGAGGCGAGAGCTCGCCTAGCGCTAGGCGGCCGAGCCAATCAGCGGAACTGGCCTTCGACCGCTCGTTAGCTCGGCCGCCACGCGCCAACAGAGCTGACCTCTCATTGGCCAGTGTTTTTCGTTGATAACTCGTAAACGAAGCCTCGTAGAACATTTTCGCTAAGGAAAAAGTTTCTTCAAATGATCTCAGAAATCACGTCTTTCCTTTCCTTTACTGATATTATGTTAACAATTTACAAGCCGCCCGGTTTCGTGAGTAACCCCCACGAGGATGTTATTTACATTAAAAATTACAAATAAATACAAATTGTATTATAAATAAATTATAGTTTGCAAATCAGCAATCGATTGCCAGGCAAACAGCTTCACAAATATTTCAATGTTAAATACTGAAATAGAGTTTACAAAATTACTCGAATAATAATGCGAATAATTTTACAACTGTTTAAAAAAAAGAACAGCCTTCACATTCCATCAATTTGATTCGAATCGATTATTCTCCGTACGAATTCCTGTACGAATAAATTCTCGCTCGCACGAAATCTTATTATCTCGGATAGATCTCAATTCCATCGGATATTTATTCTACAGCGTCGCATAAAATTCGATTCGTTAGCGTTCGCCTCTCGCGAACCGTCGTCCGAGCAAAATCTCCGCGAACTCAGATTTTCCGTCCGATTTACGGCGAGAAAGGGGCGAAAACGAGGCATACTGTATAAACGATCGTAGTTCCTTCGCGGCGATATCCCGACCGGTTTTAATCACCTTTAACCCCGCGGAACCCCCCTCCCCGCCCCGACGAAATTACCAACTATTTGCAGTTTGATCATCGAGGCGTTCAATTAGCGCGCCTGGGCCCCGGCACAGAGAGAAAGAAAAGCAATTCCGATTTTCCGTTCGCCTATCAGCATCGTGTTACGCGCTCGCTTCGGCCTGTAATCGAGACCTATGGAGAACCGTCTCGATGATTCATGGAGAACTTCATTGGCAAAGTTCGGCCGTGTCGCGCCCTGTAAGCGCGCGCGGGCGCGCGAACAAGCGAGCGAGCGAGCGAATTCGGCATTTATGTCTGAACGTAAATTGAATTCGGGAAAGTCCAATTAAACTTACCAGTAAATGAAGGACGGCGGCTCAGGTGTCTGCAGTACGACGCAGGTTAGATTGATGTCGCTTCCGCTTTTGATGTACAGCTCTGAATTGCCGTTGATCTTTGCCTTCGACACTGCAACCATAATGGACCACGGCGTTAGATCAATACATTTCCCGAATGAATGCAGATGCTACGGATTGCCCGCGCGCGCGCGCGGCCCCCGGTCGCCCGTAATGCTATATAATGAGTTAATAAATCTAATGAGTCGCCGACTGTGAAACGAATCGATGGTCTCTCGGTCGGCGGACAGCTCACAAAGAAGCCCCGGCCCCGATAATGGAACCGGCATCGATAGCGTCGAGCACACGCAAGATGATCGGTGGAAACGCGCTGATCTCGCGCGTTTATCACCGGATTATACGGGTTTTTGTATCGACGACGCGGGGGGAAAATTGGTGGATCGAATATAGAACGGTGATTAGATTGTTCAACGAATTTAGAAACATTGTTGCATTATTTTCCGACTCCGTCGAGTTATTGACACTGAAAGCACCGAGTTCTAAACGCGATTTATTTGTATTGTTTTATAGCAATGTCCAAGCTGGATTTATTTAGATTTACTATGATTTATATTATAATGATAAATAATAGTAAATATAGAAAATTGTAATAATAGAATTATTGTGATAATAAAGAGAAATTGTTATAATAGAATTATTCTGATAATAAAGAGAAATTGTTATAATAAAATTATTGTGATAATAAGGAGAAATTATTATAATAAAATTATTATGATAATAAAGAGAAATCATTATGATAAAATTATTATGATAATAAAGAGAAATCATTATGATAAAATTATTATGATAGTAAAGAGAAATTATTATAATAAAATTATTATGACAATAAAGAGAGATTATTATAATAATAAAAGAAATTGTAATATATGTATTATAATACATTTCTCCTGGAAATATTAGTATAATATATCAAGAACTCTGCAAAAGAAATAGTCAGAGCCATTTTGACTGGTTTGCTAGTTCCAGTGTTAAAAAACGACACAAATATCTGTTGCAGCTCCTCTATCTTGCAATTAATCAAGAATTAATTGCATACAGCTGTCATTTTCCAAAAAGAAGTCTGCAACCCCTTCATTAGAATTTCAGGATCTAGAAGGATCAATGAAATAATTAATTTCATCAATCTGAACTGTGTAATGTCTGGGTCCAATAGATCAAATTTCGTTTCGAATAATACAATACAAAGAATTCTCTAGGAAATCGTCTTTATATCAATGATTCTAAGAAATACGTGACTTGCTTCGATTGATTCGAATGCGCGTAAATCAATCATAAATGCTGGAAATATTGGACTTTTGTCCCCTTTTTGCGCGACGGTTTAGTGGCTAACCAACCGTTCGATTTAATGGTTATTAAAAATTCAGCTTAACTGCACGCGTCGGTGACGCCGGGGAATGAAGTTTCAAAAGCGAACGATACAAAAATACACCGCAATCGCACAATACGGAATTCGATATTTAAAGAACGATATAAATTTGTCATAGCTGCGCATGGAATGGAATAACTCTTTTCAAAATTCCACCGAATAGGATGATTTTTTTCTCAGATGTTATAAAATATATAAAATCGAATATTATTTTTATGTACTTATTATTCTATTAAAAAATTAAATAACATTAATCTATTTTAATAGATTAGCGATTAATAATAATATAATCAATCTATTACAGCCTTTTGCAATCTTAAACAGGGAGCATACATTTAATCAATATTCACCTATGAAATCCACGATTATTATTTAATTAAAAATTAATTGAATAACGTTAATCTATTTTAATAGATTAACGATTAATAATAATATCATTAATCTATTATTCTTCTCCAATTTATTGTTGTCATTAATGCATAAAATCTGTGGTCAATCAGATTGATTAGATAAGAATAATAATAATGTTAAAGTCTATAAAGTTAATTTTTCTGCGTTTACTGACCTACGACGCTCAAGTTAAAAGCCTGGCTAATTTTCGGTTCGGTTGAAACTTGACACTCATAGATTCCGCTATCCCGGACCTGCGGCGAAGTAATCTTCAAGGTCCATTCGTCAGTTCCATCGCTGTGCAACGACGTGAAACGCTGGTCATTTGTGTACGTTAGGATTCCTACGGTGAGGATGTGCAAGTCTCGTTGCCTGATCCATGAGACCTGCGAACAAATCAGATGGCTCTCTTCAACGTGATTCGATCGATAAAAAAAACCGACCGACGCCGGCCAAAGAGAAGAAAAGAGAATCCGCCGTTCTAATATAATAGAAAATGGTATAACAATCAAATAGTAAATAATATGACAATATAATAGAAAATATTATAACAATAAAATAGCAAATAATATAACAACACAATAGAAAATATTATAATAATCACATAGGAAATAATAAAACACAATAGAAAATACTATAATAATAAAATAGCAAATAATACGACAACATAATAGAAAATATTATAACAATAAAATAGCAAATAATATATAACAACACAATAGAAAATAATATAATAATAAAATAGCAAATAATATGACAATATAATAGAAAATGATATAATAATAAAATAGCAAATAATATGACAATATAATAGAAAATATTATAATAATAAAATAGCAAATAATATATAACATAACATAAAATAATATAATAATCACATAGGAAATAATACAACAACACAATAGAAAATACTATAATAATAAAATAGCAAATAATACGACAACATAATAGAAAATATTATAACAATAAAATAGCAAATAATATAACAACACAATAGAAAATAATATAATAATAAAATAGCAAATAATATGACAATATAATAGAAAATGATATAATAATAAAATAGCAAATAATATGACAATATAATAGAAAATATTATAATAATAAAATAGCAAATAATATATAACATAACATAAAATAATATAATAATCACATAGGAAATAATACAACAACACAATAGAAAATACTATAATAATAAAATAGCAAATAATACGACAACATAATAGAAAATATTATAACAATAAAATAGCAAATAATATATAACAACACAATAGAAAATACTATAATAATAAAATAGCAAATAATACGACAACATAATAGAAAATATTATAACAATAAAATAGCAAATAATATATAACAACACAATAGAAAATAATATAATAATAAAATAGCAAATAATACGACAACATAATAGAAAATATTATAACAATAAAATAGCAAATAATATATAACAACACAATAGAAAATAATATAATAATAAAATAGCAAATAATACGACAACATAATAGAAAATATTATAACAATAAAATAGCAAATAATATATAACAACACAATAGAAAATAATATAATAATAAAATATCAAATAATATAACAATATAATAGAAAATGTTACGATAGAAATATTATGTATAAGACAGCGCTGAAATCAAATTGCAATTGCTCGATCACCGACTTCGTTTCGCGTCGCGACGCGTCGAATATTCAGCGAATCGCGCGTACTGATTTAGCACAAATCGCGTTACACCGGCATTCGTCGAAATTAAAATTTCGGCGGAAACTATAACGTAATCGTACAATGAAACGCTGTTACGTGTTCGACATGGAAACGCTGTCATCGATACTTTTCATTAAATTTACGAGCTTCGCTTTATTTCTACGCGATAATCAGAGGGATTATTATGTTAAAATAATCGAATATACGGGCGTTTGCGAATTAAAACGTAAAATTAGGCGAAAAGTTGATCGAATAGAGTTTAAACCGCGTTTCACAGCGTGCAGAAAGTTAACTGCCAATTTGAGTGAATATAAATTGTTCATTTCATTTCCGCGGCGGTGCCGAATTAAATTTGAATTCGAGAATAGCAAATTTAATGTACACGGTGTTCCGCGTTGACTGTCGCCACACGAATTTTTCCGAGCTGTTTCGACGTACGTGTAACATATAGTGCTAAAATAGTAAAATAAAAAGTAGTATAACAATGCACTAGAAAATAATGTAATAATAAAATAGGAAATAATATAACAGTATAATATAAAATAATAGAAAAATAATATAATATAATAATAAAATAGGAAATAATATAATAATATAATAGAAAAATAGTATAATAGAAAATAATAAAAAAATAATATAATATAATAATAAAATAGGAAATAATATGACAATATAATAGAAAATGATATAATAACAAAATAGTAAATAATATGACAATATAATAGAAAATACTATAATAATAAAATAGCAAATAATACGACAATATAATAGAAAATATTATAACAATAAAATAGCAAATAATATAACAACACAATAGAAAATAATATAATAATAAAATATCAAATAATATAACAATACAATAGAAAATGTTACGATAGAAATATTATGTATAAGACAGCGCTAAAATCAAATTGCAATTAACAGTGAATTGCAATGTCCAGGGACGATTCAATTGGACAATTCATCCTCGCGTTAACGTTGAAAGTAATTATAGCTGTAGTACGCGACGCAGATCGAGATTCGATTAATACCGAAAGCAATTCGTTTCGTCAATCCGTCGAATTAAAACAGCCGGAAAGTCGATACGGGGCATTGTGGAATGAAAAAACAGAATGGACGAAAAATGTAATGAGCCGGGCGATGATGTTGGGGGTGCGAGGGAGGGAGGCGTGCACGAGCTAAATACGAACGAGAATAAATCCTTATAAAACTTGACGGCGTTATGCTCGAATAATTTTATTTATATATATACTATTATTATATATATTATTATATATACTATATATACTATTATTATATATATTATTATATATACTATATATATATTACTATATATTATTACATATTATATTATTATTATATTATTATATATATTACTATATATATTATTTATATATATTTATTTATTTATATATTAAGAAAAAAAGAAAGAATTCAGTATTTATTGGATAAAGCGTCCGCGTAACAGTGATAAAATTTATGGTTCCACGGTTTGGTAGAATTCAACGTGGAATTATCGAGAAAATCTACCCTCGCGTTTTGTCCGCCGAATTTCGCATTACACGTCGAATCACGGGAAAATCGTATTTCCTGCGGCAGAAAAGAAGAAGGGCGGTGCGAAGGGGCAGCGGTGCGAGCGGGCAGGAGGGAAAAAAAACTTTCGACAAAGCCCTCGACGTGAAAACATTTAACTGATCCGCAATAATCTTCGCTCGCCGCCGCCGCCGCTGACCGCTATCGAACTCAATTATCCAGGCACCGAATGTTGAGCCTGTAATTTTTCGCCGCAAAAAACTTCACGGTTCAATTTAACTTTCGGTCAGATATAATTAGAACAGGGCCACGCGGGAACCTTGGGAAACGGATGGGCTTATCGGCGGAACGTTTATTCTCCGCGGCGAACGACGCCGCGAACAGGAGAATCGATGGCGCGGAACGTCTTCGCGCGGCAAATTAATTGTAGCAAGAAGTTTTCGTTTACTAAGTATCAATTAAGGACACTGTACCGGATATCGGCTTGTCCCTTGTATAGCGACCGGTTTCAATTTCGCGATCGGCTGATTCCGACGGGAAATACGGTAATTTCGCGGAGAGATGTACGGCGCTCGGAATTGAAACCGGCGGATACGAGAATACCGTGTCGCGATCTTTCGGGCCTCGCGGCTCGTTTTTACAGAAAATCGGGACGCGGTCGGTGAAAAAAGGCGGTGATCAGCATTGCCGATGTACGTTAATATGAATAGATAGGCGATGCTGGAATAAAAACGACGACGCGACTTCTTTATTTCTAATTTTCGAAGGCAACTCGGAATTTGGCATTTCCGGGAGAAATTACTGTACACACATTGCTGTATATAGGCTTGAAATTCAGTCGTAGCATTCAGTCATGGCGTAGCATCGACAATAGCAAGAAATTATGTAGAACTAGCACAGTGAAATTCTCGGCAACCCTACATTTGGCATTTCCGGGAGAAATTACTGTACACACGTTACTGTACATAGGCTTGAAATTCAGTCGTAGCATTCAGTCATGGCGTAGCATCGACAATAGCAAGAAATTACGTAGAACTAGCGCAGTGAAATTCACGGCAACCCGAAATTTGGCATTTCTGGGAGAAATTACTGTATTTTGGAAATATAATATCCGAGGCCCTTCCAATAAATAATATAATAATAATAATAATTATTATTGTTATTACTATTATACCGTTATTACCATCGCAATCGTTTCGAGCTACGAAAATACCCGCGGCTCACGCGTTCGTTCATTTTAATGAAACGTCGCGAGCGTGCAGTCAACAGAAGGCACCTCGTGCATCCTCGTGAACCAGTTGGCGCGAAGCTTGAACGGGAGTTGTGCAATGCAAACAGTAGTTATCAGAAAAAGTTCCGGGCCATAAAGAAACGCACGCGAGTGGTCTTTAAAACGAGCGAGTGTTGTTTTTTTCTCAGGTCCGTGCTGTTCTTCGGGGCATAAAAATGAACCCTGTTCACCGTAACCGTAATTTCATCATCGCGCCGTTCACCGGCGAAGATTCTAACGTCTCTCGTTTCTCTCTCTTTTTTCTTATTTTACGTTACAATTAACCGTCGGTGCCGTGAACTTCTTCTTGTCGAGAAGTTCCGACGTTAACTCGAGAATCCGTCAGCAATTATTCAACGCTCGACGAGGAAACGAAGCGTAAAAAACACCATACCGATTGAATTTTAATACGTTAATAGACCGCGCGGCAGAATTTCGTTTCGCGTCCATTAGCGAGAGAAATTCGCGTGTTTCGGTAACAACAATGGAGTCCTTGTTCTTTCCGTGGAATGTCCCTCGGAAACGCGTTCCGCATCGAAACACGTTCGCGCGAAGAAATTCATTGTTCTGCGAAAAGAGCTTAAACCGTTCGTCGTTCCGTGAATTTGCATTAACAATGCGCGGGGTCGCGCGAGGGCGGAACCTATAAAAATTACGAGAAAAATGTACGAGCGAGGCGGTATCTTAACCGGTGTCTCGCGCACGGTCGTCTCAAATGTAAAGCACGCGTTTCGAATCAGCGTATTAAACTCGAATAAAGGTCCAATATCGGTGACGGCTGGGCCGTCGCGGCCGCGTTTCTTTCGCCCGCCCTCTCTTCGTAGTAAAATGTCTCTCTCTCCATCAATCCTGCACGTGCTACACAATAG